ATGTGAGCATTCAGCAACAATGAGTATATGTAAACCACTGGTGATGGCTATTCTATCTGTATACTTTGTTTCATAATAGGGATGGCCTGGGTGGTTCAGTCCCTTGAGCAGCCGACTTCAGTTCAGGTCATGATCTCATGGTTCGTGAGTTTGAGCCCCACATCAGGCTCTGTGCTGACAGCTCAGAGCCTGGAGCCTGCTTCAGATTCGGTGTCTCCCTCTCTCTCTGACCCTCCCCTGCTTATGTTCTGTTTCTCTCTGTCTCAATAATAAATACAACATTTAAAATTAAAAAAAAAAAAAAAAAGAATGAGAGCTGCCAAGTAAGGTTAGAACTGAGAGGGGGCTGTTGGAATCAGCAATAAGGAGATCACAGGTGTCTTTGGCGGACGCAGAGGTAGATGTGAAAAAGCCAAACGAGACAGATGCTGATAGCTAAAGTAGTGTTTCATACTTACCATGTGCTATTCTGAGCACTTTGTAAATATTAATTCATTTGATATTGACAACTCTATGAGAAAGTTATTATCATCCCTATTTCCCCATGGGGAAATTAAACACAGAAAGGTGAAACAGCTTGCTCAGCGTCACAAAGGTAGTTCACAGTGGAGTTCAGATTTGAAAATCTGCAGTCTGGCTCCAAACTCCATGCTGTAAACTGTCAAGCCATAGATCCAACTCTGGGCTGTGAGGAGGGGAGAGGGTCACTGGTGGTTAGGACCAGAAGAGAGTAAAAGGCAAGAACTAGAGGAATGATAAAGAAGGGTGGGGTGAATGATTTACAAGTGGAATGGTTCCCTCTCCTGGACCATAAACCAAAGGGATTTGTCAGCTGCCAGGAAGGCAGATAAGGTGACTTAGGAGGGAGGGTCTGGGTGGGGATTGAGGACTGCCCCTTCCTGGAGCAAGTCTTCTAGGCCTGTACCTTTATCCATAGCTCTGTGGGAAATTCACAGCCCCGTGACCCTGAGTGTTGGTAACAGGCAGAAGGTAAGGGCCACAGTAGCAAACAAAGGCAGTGATTGAAATGAAGCAGCCTGGGATGCCCTAAAGGTGTACTGGCAGAGAGAAGCTCCCAGGACCTCGGAGCCTGAGTTCCTTCAGTTCAGGGCCTGGCTGCCTAGATGCGAGACTCTTTAAGTGTTATGCAGCCCAGAATGCTCTAGGAAAGCCATAGATCAGAGCTTGGGACAGGATACATGACCATGATGGCTGAGGCCCCAGAGCTGGTATCTCACCTTCCCTGGGAAAGGTCCTTAGTATTCCAGATCTCTGGGACATACACACACTCTCTGAGTCCACTTCTTTCCTCATATTGACATCTCGAGAACCTGGCTCACCAAGGCCTTGGAAAGAGAACATAACTCTTCCGGCCATGAGTAGGTTTCTAGACCTTGTTCATCCAGGAAGGTTCTCACAGAAAAAGGGTAAGGAGGGCCAGATGTCTTTCAGGTTAAAAATGAAAAAAATAAATAAAGGAAAAGAAAAGAAAAGCCTGCTTGGGTTCAAGGACTCCCCAGCTCTATCGAAATGAATCAGATACAATCCTGTCCTTGGGTGCCTTGGTGGCTCAGTCAGTTAACTGTCTAACTTGATTTCGGCTCAGGTCATGATCTCACTGTTTATGAGATTGAGCCCCTGTTTGGGTTCTAAGCTGACAGCATGGAGCCTGCTTGGGATTCTCTCTCTCTCTCTCTCTCTCTCTCTCTGTCTGTCTCTCCCTGCCCCTTCCCCCCACCTGCATTCTCTCTCTCTCTCTCTCTCTCTCTCTCTCTCTCTCAAAATAAATTAAAAAAACCCCAAAACCCAAAACCCAATCTTGTCCTGAAGGGCCACACAGGCTGGAAGGGAGATGATCCCAGCAGCAGACAGGTCACACAGCCCAGTGTGATTTGCTGCTGAGAGAGGAAACCTAGAGGGTATTGGGGAGTGACCTGGGGAAGATCATGGAAAGCTTCCCTGAGGCTGCTCTGAGCCGGACCTTGCACAAGCAGTGAAAAGGAGCTAGGCCAGAGGCTGGTCACAGGAACAGAGATGGGGCATCTCAGAAGGCCCTGTATATCCAGCTTAAAAGCCTCGACCTGGCACTGTTTGGCTTGGGGACAGGCCGGCAGGGCTTCAGGGGAAAGGTCTCTGCTTCTTTATCTCTGAAGGATTGCCTGTTCTGGGACACAACAAAAGACTATTAGGTGGAACCACAGGGAACAGATTTGGCTTTTCATGGTAATAGCAGCCCAGGCTCCATGCCTACAGTGCTCCAGTGTCTGGATATTGTTTCTTTGAATAATCCCAATTGCCCTGTGTGGAAGGTGTTATTGATCTTGTTTTATAGAGGAGGAAACGGAAGTTCAGAGAGATTAGGTAATTTACAAGGCTACAGAGAACTAGAATTCAAACCCAGGTCTGTCTGACTCCCAAGCTTGTGCTCCTAGCTACCTCTCCACACTTCCTCTCTTTTGGAAACACTTGTGAGCAAGAATCAGCTCCCAGTGTGAGGAAAGGAACTTCTTTTTTTTTTTTTAATGTTTTATTTATTTCTAGGAGAGAGAGAGAGACAGCGTGAGCAGGGGAGGGTCAGAGAGAGAGGGAGACACAGACTCTGAAACAGGCTCCAGGCTCTGAGCTGGCAGTCAGCACAGAGCCCGACGCGGGGCTCGAACCCACGAACCGCGAGATCATGACCTAAGCGAAAGCCGGACGCTTAACCGACTAAGCCACCCAGGCGCCCCATGAAAGGAACTTCTCAATACAGGTCAGAAGTGGGACCACCACTCCTGGGTTTTTATGGATGACCTCAGCACTGGGTGGTTAATTGAGCTGATGCCTCAAATATTATTTCCTTTGTTTAACAGATAAAGAAATTGAGGCCTAGAAGTAGAAATGGCCACTCAGGATGCTAGGTACCCTTAGGAGCCAAGATGCTGGACATAGGGCTAAGGGAGGTCTGCATCCCTAGGCCTGAGTCCCAGACCTGTTGCTCTGTCAACTCTGTGGAATAGGGATGGGAGATGGGCGAGCCAAGCTTCCCAGAGCCTGGACTAGAAGCTGGCACTGTGGCCAGTGCACAGGACTGTGGTCCCTGGGGTCAAGCCCTTGTTTTTAGGCCCAGTTGAGCCTACTTCTAGGGTTTGAAGTTGTGAAACTGAATAAAGGAAACATCATTACAATAGAGTCTGGGGTGCCTGGGTGGCTCAGTCAATTAAGCATCTCTTTCTCTCTCTCTCTCTCTCTCTCTCTTTTAGTGTTTATTTTGAGAGAATATAAGCAGGGGAGGGGCAGAGAGAGGGGGACAGAGGATCTGAAATGGACTCTGCATTGACAGCAGTGAGCCTGATATAGGGTTTAAACTCACAAACCGCAAGATCATGACCTGAGCCCAAGGTGGAAGCTCAACCAACTGAGCCACTCAGGTACCCCAAGCATCTGACTCTTGATTTCGCTTCAGGTCATGCTATCATAGTCATGAGATTGAGCCCCAATGGACTCCATACTGGGCATGGAGCCTGCTTTAGATTCCCTCTCTCCTTCTTCCTCTGCCCCTCTCCCCTTCAAAAATAAAATAAAATAAAAATAAAATAGTCTGTAGGCCAGAGAGGAGTAGTTCTCACACCCTACCAGTTTGTCCTCAATTGCACACCCCAACAGGAAGAAGCATACCAATGAGACAGAACCTCCTTTACTACCCCTGCAAGAGGAAGAAAGACTTTGTCCTTGAATAGCAACAGCCCAACCAGTAAGAAGTTGCCACAACTCCGCCAATAAGAAAAAATCACCAGCCCCCAATGTACTTTTATTCAAAGTAGCCCCTCTCAACATCCTCCTTTTTCTCTATAAAATAACATTCCTTTCCTTTGTTTTTTAGACTTGCCTATGTTTTGCTATAACTTGCATGCCCTGAATTGCAATTCCTCCATTTTTTTTAATAAACCCATTTTGCTGATAAAATAACTGAATGTTTTATTTTTAAGCTCAACAAAGTCCATCAACTCAGGCTTTGAATCCTGCCTCCAATGCATCCCAGCTATATGACCTTGGGCAAGACATTTACCTCTTGGAGCCTCATCTATAAATGGGGATGTGTCCTGCCTCATGGGGTTGTGATGAGGATTTCACGAGAGGATGATATAGCAGTGCCTTTGGCACAGTGCCTGTCAGTCAGTGCTCTGTGATCAGCAGCTGTTATAACAATTGATCATCATGCATCTGTCTTCTCACCTGGAGCGTGGGACAGTAATCCCTGTCATCCTGGTTTCAAGGACCTGGTGTTATTTGTGTGTGCTGGAGGTCAGTGCAGATGGCATTTCTGCCACCCAAAGGCCAACCCAGCCCCACAGGAGTAGGGAGACAAATCTAGTTCCCAGGACCAGGAGAGGCTGGGTGACAGCCTCAATCCATCAATGATAACCTCAGTCCAGTTAAGCTTTATGGGCCCAGTAGATATTTAAGTGTGTTTCGTGTGAGGGCTAGCCCAGTTCTCCTTCCTCAACACATGCTGCTGCTCAGAGCAGGTAGGCAGGTGTGGAGTGTGTGTGTGTGGCGGGGGGGGGGGGGGGGGGGGGGTGATAGTACCCTGGGCCTTGGGAGACCGGCTATCAACAAGACCCCAAGGGGTAGTTGTGGGTCTAGGCTAGAGTTGGATCTCCTGTCCTTAGCAGTTTATGATCTGGTTACTTTTAGCCCTGCAAGTGGAAGAGGATCTTGGGGGAGTCTCTTGCAAGAGAGGTTATAGATTTCAGCTCCCCTAGGCCCATCCATCCTGGCTTGACCCATGTACCACTGAGTTCTGGAGAGGATGGGGATGTGCTTTGTCTGCTCTGCACCTTACTCCCCCATGACTACTGACACAGGGTGAAGGTTGGGTGTATGTGACCAGAGTTGAAGGGAGGTTGCCTGGGGAACTAAGCTTGGTGATAAGAAGGCAAGCTAAGGGGAAGGTTTCCTGGGAAAGAGGGACACTCTGGGGGCAGCTCTTGTGCCCTCCTGCTCAGGCCCCCAGCACCATGACGGTTTCATACACCCTCAAAGTGGCAGAGGCTCGCTTCGGAGGCTTCTCTGGTTTGCTTCTCCGTTGGAGGGGAAGCATCTACAAGCTCCTCTACAAAGAGTTCCTCCTCTTCATCGCCCTGTATGCTCTGCTCAGCATCACCTATCGGTGAGGGTGAGGTGTCAGGGCTGGCCTGTGGGGGACTAGGCTGCCCACTTCCCTCTAACCCAGTCTTACAACTGACCTTACTCAGGTTGCTGCTGACCCAGGAGCAGAGGCATGTATATGCTCAGGTGGCCCGATACTGTAATCGTTCTGCAGATCTCATCCCCTTATCCTTTGTACTGGGTAAGGCTCCCTCTAGTTCTCCCTGGTAGCCTTCTTACCATCTTCCCTGACCTTTGGCTTGAGTTGATAGCACTGAAAGTCAGAATTACCCCAAAAGCACAGCCTAGAGGTCAAGCAGAGTAGGCTCAGCAGACATGGGAGTTGTGTCCTGAGTCCAAGATTTCCAGAGGACTAGACCCTGCCTATCATTTGCTGGACCCTCACTCCACAAACAAGGGACACAACACGTGCAGGCTTCAAAACCCCACTCTGGGTACTGGAGGGGGGCTGCAGAGAAGTGACCTCCCCTTCCCACCTTCATGGGAAGCAGGGCTCAGAGTTAACTATTACTAGTGGCCTTGAGCCACCACTTCTCTGCCACCACTTCCTTGCACCTCTCCATCCTCTGGGCCTGGCCCAGCAAGGAAGAGGCTTTAGGAAGAGGCATTTCCCCTGACAGCAAGACAGGGCACTGGAGCCAAATGTGTCCTTCCCCCTGCTTCAGTTCAACCTAGCCTAGACCAGGCTCTCTGGCTGGGGGGCAGGGCATGCTAACTCCCAGATGCTCCATCTCCCTTCCTGTCCCCACTTCCCGGGGTGGCTGACAAGGTTTCTACGTGACCCTGGTGGTGAACCGCTGGTGGGCCCAGTATACAAGTATTCCACTGCCAGACCAGCTGATGTGCGTCATCTCGGCCAGCGTGCACGGCGTAGACCAGCGTGGCCGCCTGCTGCGCCGTACCCTCATCCGCTATGCCAACCTGGCATCTGTGCTGGTGCTGCGCTCGGTCAGCACCCGCGTGCTCAAGCGCTTCCCCACTATGGAGCACGTGGTGGATGCAGGTGAGGACAGGTGCCCCTGGGGCTCGGCTGGGCCAATGCAGGTGCCTCACTGGGGAGCCCTGGTGTGGTCCCGGCCAGGGCCTGAACATGGGTCTCCTAGGAGGAGAGGTCTGACCCCCAAGGGGTAAGTCTTAGGCACAGGGGATAAGTCTGGGCCCCACTCACTTTATCTCCTCAGGTTTCATGTCCCAGGAAGAGAGGAAAAAGTTTGAGAGCCTGAAATCCGACTTCAACAAGTACTGGATCCCATGTGTCTGGTTTACTAACCTGGCAGCCCAGGCCAGGAGGGATGGGAGAATCCGTGACGACATTGCTCTCTGCCTGCTCCTGGAAGTGAGTCTGCTCACACCAGGCCCATTTGTCCTCCTCCTACTAGATTTGCAAACCAGAACAATAATTTTAGTAATGAGCACTTAGATGGTGTCAACTTTGTACCGCACACTGTTGGAAGCACTGTACATATATAACTCGTTAACCATCACAACAACCCTTGAGACATTATTGCCACCCTCTTGCAAAGGTGAGAAAACTAAGGCACAGAGTGGAAAAGAAACTTGCCCAAATCACACAGCTAGTTAGTGGAGGTGGGACTCATACATTCTGGGTCCACGGTCTATGCTTGCAACTACTTTGCTAAACTGCTTCCCATCACAGGCTCTCCCACATGGTAATACCTCCGACAGCCAAGTGGGTCTCTAGGCCTAGTTTGTGTTGGGCTCCCAGTTCTTTCCCCATTCTTCCTTCCTCACCTCCACTGACTTCCTCTTCCTGCTTTTCCACCAGGAGCTGAACAAGTACCGGGCCAAGTGCAGCATGCTATTCCACTATGACTGGATCAGCATACCTCTCGTCTATACCCAAGTAACTGCCTTTCACCTCCCCAGTTCCAGTGCCTACTGCATGTCCTGTGCTGTGTGTGAAACTGAGAATTAGAGATGGCACCTGCCCTGGGGCAGTTCAGTGCAGTGAGACACTGAACAATCAAGGGCTCGTCCTCAAAGCATTCCCGGATCCCCGCTAATACAACCCCATCCCCCATCCCCTCTGATGCTGTCACACCTTGCTACACATTTTACTTCCTTGTCAGGGTCTCTCACTGGCCCTAAGGGGGCAGGGAGGGTATTTTTCCCTGTCTCATTCATCCAGGCTTCCTTCTCCAGGTGGTGACCATAGCAGTATACTCCTACTTTGCCCTCTCCCTGGTTGGCCGCCAGTTTGTGGAGCCAGAGGCAGGGACTGCCAAACCTCGGGAGCTGTTAGAGCCAGGACAGGAGCCAGCATCTACTCTGGGGGACCTGGACATGTATGTGCCTCTCACCACTCTGCTGCAGTTCTTCTTCTATGCTGGCTGGCTCAAGGTGGGCACATAGGGTGTTCAAACCAGCTTGTTCAGTAAGAGATGTGGGCTCAGGGCCCACCTCAACTTTGGGGATGGAGAATGGGGCTCTGAGCCCTGAAAACACTGCCTTACAAACCTGCAGGTGGCGGAACAGATTATCAACCCCTTTGGGGAGGACGATGATGACTTTGAGACTAACCAGCTCATAGACCGCAACTTACAGGTGCACACGGGCCTGGGGGCAACTCCCTGTGCTCTCCTCCTTGCCACCTCTCCGCCTGAGGTGTGGAGAGGACAGGAGGATCCTTATGACTTGCTACCTACCTCAGGTGTCCCTGCTCTCCGTAGACGACATGTACCAGAACCTGCCTCCCGCTGAGAAGGACCTGTACTGGGATGAAGACTCAGCGCAGCCGCCTTATACGGTGGCCACCGCAGCCGAGGCTCTGAGGCCTTCTTTCCTGGGTTCCACCTTCAACCTTCGGTGAGTGGCCCGCGCTAGCGGAGGCAGGGCTTGACCCGGCACGCGGGCCCCAGGTCTGCGCCCCCACTCTGGGGCGACAATGGATCGGTCCTTCCGGTTTCCCGACGCCTCGGGAGAGTCAGCCCCGGGGCGGCTCAGCGCCATGACCGCTCAGACCTCCTTCCCGCCCGCAGCGTGAGCGACGACCCCGAGCAGAACGTGCAGGTGGACACGTCCCCAGGGTCTGCTAGGCCGCTGCCCGCCGCGCAGACCCCGTTGCTCGGCCACTTGTTTGCCGCAGGAGCACCCTCGCCTGCCATCAGCCTCCGGACCTTCGGCCGCGCGCGCGGAGTCCCTCGGACCCCTCATCTGCTGCGCTTCCGAGCGGAGGAGGGCGGCGACCCCGAGGCCGCGGATCGCATTGAGGAGGCGTCGGTGGGGTCAGGGGACGAGGCTGGGGAACCCTGAGCAAAGGCTGCCGGGCCCGAGCCCTCTTACCTACCTCCCCCAAGCCTGCCTCTACTCGCTTTCCGCCCCCCACTGCCCTCCAAACGGGCTGGTCGTGCCCTCGGACGCCATTAGAACACTTGCTGTGTGCCCTGAGCCCGAGCATTTAGGGGCGGACCTTGGAAGACGGCGGGGCTAGTGTCAGGGACGGGAATGCGTCCACTTTGGCGGGAGAAGGTAGGATGGCTGGCTTGGGGAGGGTGAAGCTAGAAGCTTACATGAGTGAGGCCTAGAAGACAAGAACCCAGGTGCATTGTTAATTTCCTGGGCAATGGGGAGCTGGGCTCGTTCTCAAATTTGAGGGAGCATCAAAGTCACTGAAGAGCTTGTTCAGAGTAGTTATGGGTGTCCCTTCCAGCGTTTCTGACTCATTAGAGCTGGGATGGAACCCAAGAATTTGCATTTCTACTAAGTTTCCAGGTGCTGTTGCTGGTCCAAACATCACAATTTGTATAAAAAAGATTTTGAGAGTATGTCTTATCCTGATAATCTTACTTTAGAAACATTTTTTAAAAGTTTATTGTCAAGTTGGTTTCCATATAACACCCAGTGATCATCCTCACAAGTGCCCTCCTCCATGCCCATCAACCCCCTTTTCCCTCTCCCCCACCCCCATCAGCTCTCAGTTTGTCCTCAGCATTCAAGAGGCTGATAATCTCACAGAAGGATCGAAGTGTGTGTGCTGGGGGACTTTTGCTTTACCTATATTCTTTGTTTACGAGAATATAATCATTACTTGTGCAATTACGGTTGTTTAAAACTGCATTGGCTTGCTGTGCAGTGGGATAAAGATGATTTGGAAGGGCTTGGGAATCTGTACTGGAGGCTGATTAAACTCAAGAGATGTGAAGGCAGTCTTAACACCACACCCAGCCTAGACCTTGCGCATTTGGACCCTTCTTTGTGCCCACTAACCAACATAAGAGACGATGTAAGGGATGAAAGCTGGGGCGAAAGCTGCAGGTCCATCTCTGTGGTGGGCCTACAGTGCTGGGGCGGCGGGGAGACCAGACTCACAGAACACTAGATTGGAGTTGCCTGAACTTAGCTCCTCTAAGATTACTGGCCTGTAAGTTCAGCCTCCGTTAAAGAAATTGGTGAATGCCAAAACTGAATCTTAAGATCAAAGAATGACAGAGGACGAAGTCAGAGGAGGGAAGAAACAAGAGTATAGAGGTTGGGTTCAGGCTCTGGCACTGTTGACTAGATAATGCTGGCTTTGCTACTTTCTTGCTGGGTGACCATGGGTAGATACCTAAGCCTAGGTCTCCAAACTTATGGAGACAATAGCACCCCCAGGATAGCCATTCACTCAAGGTTATTTAAAGTTTTTCACAGGGTTAATTGGTAGCCTAGCTCAGAGCAAGAATGTTCATCTGAAGTTCATCTGTGTGCCCTGAGCCAGAGCATTTAGGGGCGGACCCTGGAAGATGGCGGGGCCAGTGTCAGGGCCGGGAATGCGTCCACTTTGGCGGGAGAAGGTAGGATGGCTGGCTTGGGGAGGGTGAAGCTAGAAGCTTATGGATACTGATTCATTAGATCTGGTATGGAACATGACTACTACATGGATCCAAAACTCTTTGAAAAACAGATTCTATTCATAAATTAGAAGTGAAGGGGAGACATAGTCTTGTGGAGCTCAAATTAGGAAATAAGTGGCTTTGCTGACCCATACCGCTCAGTCAATAGCTAAAATTAAGGTGTTACATTGAGAATCATTGGATGGAAAGGTGGGGGCAAAAGCCTCCCCAGAGCCAATGATAAGGTTTTAGAAGGTTGGGTTGATTTGTGTGTCTTTAAGTTTTTGTACTCAAAAGTGGTGGTTGCCATCTTTTCCCTATGGTCTCTTCACAAAGCCTACAATTTAGCCAAGCTAAGGAACCAATTGATGTTCACTTCTTTAGCTCTTAAAAGTTTACATACTTATACTTTCCATTAAGTTCGATAAAATCTTGATTTTTTAAAAATTAACTTAGCACATTTGAGTGCTTGCTATGTTGTCCCGCACTTCCAGGTACTGGAGACACAGCAGGAAACAAACATACCTGTTCCCCGGAATTAAATTCTAATAGGACAAAAAAGACAAAATGAGCAAAATTTATTCCCAACTAAGGGATAAGGAGAAAAAGGAGGAAAAGATACAGCACTGAAGGGACTAATTTAAAAAATTGTGATCAGTCTTCGCTTCGGCAGCACATATACTAAAATTGGAATGATACAGAGAAGATTAGCATGGCCCCTGCGCAAGGATGACAAGCAAATTCATGAAGCGCTACATATTAAAAAAAGAAAACTGTGATCAGAGAGGAAAAAAACTAGGGTCTAAGACCTGGAGAGTAAGCCATGTGGGTATTTGAAAGAAAATGTTCCCAACAAAAGGAATAGCAAGTGAACATACATATAGATTTACTCAGTGAGGCAGGATCATATGCACTATAGAAAAAGGGACCAGGTAAGAATGCCTGGGTGACTCAGTTGGTTAAGTGTCTGACATCAGCTTAGGTCACGATCTCACGGTTTAAGTTCAAGCCCCGTATCAGGCTCTATGCTGACAGCTCAGAGCCTGGATGGAGCCTCCTTTGGATTCTGTCTCCCTCTCTCTGCCCCTCCCTTGTATTTGGAGATGGTTAGTTGTCCTGTCAAAAATCTGTATTTTTAATGTTTATTTTTGAGAGACAGAGTGTATACAGGAGAGGGGCAGAGAGAGACACACAGAATCTGAAGCAGGCTCCAAGTTGAGCTGTCAGCAGAACCTGTTTGGGATGCTGTCTCTGCCTCTTCCCTGCTCATAAGGCTTTCTCAAAAGAAATAAAAAAAAGTTTAAGACACTGCCATGTGCAAGGGAGCAGCAGATTGAGAATCCTAAGCCAGTTCTGCCCAGAGCCCTACCTATGGCTTATCTCACGAACTGAGAAACCCAGGTACCCCCAAAAACCTAGATTTTAAAAAGTTTGAGACACAGAGGTAACATGAGTGGGTGAGGGGCAGAGAGTCCCAAGCAGGGTCTGCACTGCCAGCACAGACCAAGATTGAACCCATGAAGCTACATGATCATGACCTGAGCTGAAACCAAGAGTCAGATACTTAACCAACTGAGACATACAGATGCCCCAAACACCTGATCTTTAAAAATGATCACCATTTCTAGGATTGTATTGGGGGGAAAAGCAGCATTGAGTGCTACTTGCAAAAAGGTGACTGGAAGGTAGATACTGTTAAGGTGTTAAGATCCAAGATCTAGGGATATTAGACATAAATATAAGGGTCAGAATGACCCAAGATTTTGATTTAAGCAGCTGTATAAAGACAACTATTTGCTGTAATCAAATAGCTGAGAAACTATTTGAAAAGGAAAAGCTAAAAAATGTTATACATTTTTAACACGTTCACCATTGAGAGTCCAATTATGCTATCCAAGTACAGGTGTTAAGTACGTCTGGGTTAAAGTTAGAAAAATGCATCGTATGAGGTGTCTGGGTGGCTTGAGTGCCCAACTCTTGATATAGGATCAGGTGATGATCTTGGTCATGAGATGGAGCACTGAGTCAGTCATGGAGCCTCCTTGGGATTCTCTCTGCCCCTCCTCTGCTCTCTCAAAATAAACGAAAGGAAAGATGCATCATAAACCACATTTAGTACTGACAATAGACAATGTAGCCAAGCTGGAGAGAGCTGAACTTTGCATATTTAGCAATGCAGAAACCACTGGTTATCTTGCATACTTTAGGAAGAGGGGAAGGGATGAGGGTTTAAGAGAAAACCAACTTCAGAAAGACATTAAAAACTGAAGGATACAGATACCTAAACATGTTCAACTTCCTCAACATTGCAGAAATTTGGAATACAATTTCAAGGTTTCTAGGCTATCCACAAACCCAGGCTGAAAACTTCCAAGGTAAAAGCTTAAGACCAAGGCTCATAAAATCTCTAAAGGAGCCAGATTTACAAGGCAGCATGGCCTCATGTACCAGTCATGGTCAACACAATTGTAATACTGGGGGCCCAGTGCTGGGATACCTCCCTCATACTATTTGCTTGGCCTGCATGCCATACCCCCACTGAACACTAGCTTTTGGGGTGAAAAATGCTGCCCGTTATAGACACAGCCCACAAATTAGCTTGGCCTTCAGGGAGGGTGAGCTGGGGTACTATAGTTTCCCAAGCAATCAGATTTTCACACATAAATTCAGGGCAGAATAAACACCTTTATTACATGACTGAAGAAAGGAGGAAGATCTATTTGCCTTTCCGGGCTTTGATTTTCCTTAGATAGAACTCTAGCTCCTTGCCTTCCAGCACATAGCCATCTGCTCGGCCACACTGGCCTGGTCTTGAAGCGATGCATGCTGCAATAGAGAACGCATTCATTAGCAAAATGACAATGTGGCCCTATCCAAATCTAGGCATCACCTTAAAAGTCCATGGGATTGGCTCAGGTATCCTGGGGGGGCAGGCATGAAGCCCAGTGTCTCCTCAGATATACTTTATCGTCACTTAAAGTCAGTAGCAGAACTGGACAAAGTTTTCATCACTGAGACAGCCCCTCAACACCCTCAGCCTGCACGTGCATGGACTTCAAAATACTTCTCGGAATTAGAGGCAAAGGGCAAGCACAGGCCTACAGACCCCTGCCCACGATTTCCCATTTGAACTTCATGCTAACGGGATGACCAGATGTTCTGAGTTGTGCCTATATGCTGTTATCATTCAACTCTCCAGGTGAAGCCTCTACCACAGACTGGCCGGTAAAAACAACAAAAGAGGCAAGAATAAAATGCAGAGGATATACTGTTATCTTGATACCCCCTCCTCCAAGGCAACAGCTCTCTCACCAAGCAGCTTTCCCTGCTGGAACTGCTCCTCCAGAAGGCTGCTGATTTTGGCATTCTTTTTCCTTTCGTCGTATTTCTTCTGAATTTTCTTCGATCGCTTTTTGTTTAAAATCTCTTCCTCCTCGGGAG